AGTAAGTAGGAAGGTTGAGGAGAAGGAGGAGAGGGGGAGAGTGAGGAAGAAGAGGGAAAGAGGGAAGTGAGAGAAGAGGTTAGAGGGTGGATGCGGTTGGGGGGAAATGGGTGAGCAATACCGAAAGTTGTGTGTATAAATTTATTTTATTTTTTATCTGAAGTATTTTTTATGAGTGTAACGTAAAATTGAAAATAAAATTTTTTTACAAAAAAAAGAAAGACAGAAAGAAAGGAGGGAGGGAGGGAGAGAGGGAGGAAGGAAGGAAGGAAGGAAGGAAGGAAGGAAGGAAGGAAGGAAGGAAGGAAGGAAGGAAAGAAGGAAGAAGACAAAGATAATATGATTACATTCTTACTGCATATTTTATATTCTATGTTTTTTTAGAGACTTGTTCCACTGATTCCAGTAAAAAACTATCATTTAATTAATAGCATTGTGGGACAGAAAAAAGGAATTGTTTAACTGAGTATTCAGGTATAGTAGCTTCAGTTCTGATTCATTGTGTATTTAATTTAATCAATAACTTTATAAAATATTTGAAATGGCTAACAACAGAATACATAATTTTAAAAACAACTGGGTAAATAATTTTACATATTGGATAAGGTATAGTGCAAAGCAAACAACTAAAAATATATTCTACTTTATTTTGCCTTCCCGTCTCATAGCCTTGGGATAGTATATTAAAAGACTTTTTAAAATGTTAAAAATTCACAATATAAACTAGTGTTACCTGCAATTATATGGAATCATTTATAGCCTCCAAAGTTATTACTAAAAGCACAAGCAATAAAATAAGAAATTCACATGGATATTCCCAACAGCTGTTCTGGAAACATTTTCCAATACTCTAATCCCTTGCTTAAGCCTTGCAACCACACAAAACTGTGTAGACTCAGCACAAATCAATGTATTTCATTTAATTAATGCTAAAGGGGAAAATAATCTCATACTAATAAGGCAGCTGACAAGCCATTCTGGACTGGCTGAACGTGCCTAAGGCCTTAAAAACAGACTGACACAAATTAAGAAGGGCATTATGACCTGTAAAAACATTAAATCATACTGTTACATCAAAGTGAGGACCATGAAAAAAAGAGTTACAAGAGAAGATACACCTAATTCCCAATTGCCCTATTAAACATCATGATCTTGGATTACAGTGATAAAAGAGTGTCTGGTATCATTTGTTTCTAAAACAATAGAAACATCTGTAAGGCGGGTAGAATAGTTTTTACCTGCCATGGCAATATAATTATCAACAGAAACCTAAAGTATGATTTCACAGAGAAAAAGACTTATTATAAACTGGGCTGATTCATTTACCAGGTCAAACATATTTTAACTTTATTATTTTTTGCACCCTCAAATGATTTCAAAAACATGTTTAGATCTGAACTGAAATTATTTACCTTGATTTATATTCTGGATAAACTAAGGTTAACTTTAGAGAATAATGTCTGGTGGGGGGGGGAAGAACTGTGGAATTGTTCAATAACTGAAACACTGAGAGACTCAAAGATGGGCAAGGGAAACTTATCTTAAAAGATTGCAGTTCAAGGGAATGCAAAAATCACACACAAATTTCAGTGGAAATACTATACTTCTAAGCAACAACTCATGAAAATGCAGCAGCAGGCTAGTTTTTAAAAAAAGGAAGAATAATTTTAACAATCAGATTCTTCTTTACAGGTGCATAGCCAAGACGGCAATAAAGTAATAATGGCCCACTTCACTAGCACTTCGTCAGATTTACTGCATGCTTGCTTTGTCATAGCTTTGGAAAATGACATGTAGGTTACCGAGTTCAAACTCTGGTTTAAGGTAGGCATTCAAAGTAAGTCATCCCAGCACATAACTGTCTGACTTCTACATGACCACATCAAACGAAGAGAAGCCCACCACCGCTCTAGATAGTTGATTCAATGGTTGACCTGTTCTTACTGTTAGGATTTTTTTCCCCTTGTTCCTGCAATTAAAATCCATCTTTTTGTTGCTTGAATTCATTAATCCTTTCCTGTATTGAAATAGTTCATTTTGCTGTTGCCAGCACTGTCTCAAGGATAGGTATATCAAGTTCATCAAAATAGCAGATAAAATAACACCACATAAAGCTTTAAGTGCCATGTGGACCCTTCATTTCAGTTAATTCCTGTGGTTCAGGATGAAAAACAATCTATTCAAGATCTTCAGCTTCTGAATTTGAAGCCACAGACTGACGCATCATACAATTTAAGGCCCTTTTAGTCTTCAATTCCAACACTATCCCCAAAATGACATGGCTATATAGAAACTGAAATGACAAATCATGCAAGCAGCTGACAGTCTATATTACAAAATAAATGAACAAAAAGAATACTATGCAGTATTCTCAAGTGTTCAAATCAATATTTAATAGAAATAATGGCTCTCTACTGCTAAAATGGTCACTGACAACACTAGTAGCAAAAAGAGTCTTGAATAAGTCATTACAGAGAGTCAAATATAAAGATTCCACTGAAAATAGATATCAATTGATGATAAATGGAATATATACTAATCTCATGTGCTATCTTGTTGGATACTTGTTGGGTTTCGTTTAATGCTTTTTATAATTACAGTGGAAGATAGAGGTTGGTCACAATTGTATGTATGGGAGGCATGTGATTTTTAATATGTTGGGCTGCTATTTTTTATATGTTGGGCTGCTATTTTTTCTAATGGACCATCATTAATCCATTTCTATTACTGGAAGCATAAATTGCCTATGCAATCTGAATAGCCTTATGCCAACCTAGGATAGTAAGTCAGCTATGCATTTATAGGGCAGAGAAACTTCTTCCTCAGTTATTTGTGCTCTGATAATCACAGGGACTGGACTATCTTTCAAAAGATTATGGACATGTCAATTAGTTTTGAGTAGAACTGAGAGACCATAAATCAAGTATGGATGAAATGAATAAACCTCATCGTTCTTGCCATCCTCAAGGTCTCCTAGTTGATTTCCCTGTGTAATTCAATAGGTAGGTAGTAACCTTTACATTTTTTTCATAGGAGGGAAGTTTGCAACCTGAGGTCCTCGATCTCTACATATTTTGACTATGACCTCCAAAGACCCCCAGAACATTATTAAATTGTGTTTTTGTAAAGGTATTTAATTATGGCTAAATGGCAGTTACAGTTTACATTGCTATGAATAAGTAGTAATTACATTAAATATATTTAATTTTTATTAAATAAAATGTAAATGACATGAAATTAGATTTAGTCCAAGCTATATCCACCATTGTTTTGCAATGTTATCTCACAAAAAGCAGATCACCAGTTAGTGAAGTCTAAAGCCTAAAAAAGTTGGGCATCTCTCTTATCCCTAGAGACTATGAAAACCAGCATTATTTATATGTAAAAGCTAAAATGTTAAATTCCTGGTATTCAAAGAGGGCATTTTGAAAATATTCTAGGAATTGTATCATTTACAAAAATAATATGCATACAATGCTCAACTTGAGTTTCCTTTGTCTACTCCAACATTCAGTCTAGTAAATCTTACATTATAGTTAATGAGTAGCACCTATCCAAAGCTATCTTTCCTGATTTATAATTGTTGGTAAAGTACATCATCTAAAGAATATTATTTATTCAGAGATCTTAAATCTTGCATTCCTTATTTTTACTGATTTATATCATTTTACAGCATTTCTCTGGCTCATTTTTAAATAAATGATAAAGAGCAATTGGCAGACTAAATAAAACATAAAACCATTCAATAAAAAAGATACTCAAATATAATAGAAAAACAAAACTCTCAACAACTTCCAATGACATATATATATATATAAAGCCTGGTCCATAATCAGTCCTCAAGGAAGATGCTGAGGGTTTATAGCAGAGATGCTTTTCTTTAAAATGCATATTACTAGTCCCTTTCCATGATTACTTACCAAACATAGTTTTTTTAATAAACTATATTCAGATCAGAGGCTTTGAAGAAGCTATTAAGGCATGGATAGCTTAATTCCTTTTCAGGAAATTAAGACTTGATGGAATAAAAGCAGTTGATTTTAAAACTTGGCCTAAACATTGACTAGAAGCTAGTGCATCAGTTCAAGTATGGATATGAAGTAATTAAATGATCCTGCCTCATCAATACTTTGATGGCCCTATTTAGAATCAGCAAACATTTCTGAAATCTCCCACTCACAAAACACAGTGCAATATTCTGAACGGAAGGTTGTCAAGCTATCCAGCTTGGTAGTAAAAGTTCCTTTCAACTTAAAAAGGCATCTGAACACCTAAGCACAATGCTGGATCCATAACCCACATCAGATAACAAACGTAATACATTGGGGGACTATACATCTCTCAAAAATATGCTGTAAGCAGCTTATGGATATAAGAATTTTTAAAAGGCACACACTCCATAAGCTAATAGCTGAATAATGGAAATTAATAAAAACTCAGCATTAAAACTATAACAGAAAAATAGCAAAGACATTCGAACAAAGCTGGAATCACCTGATTCCCAAAAAACACAACATTGGAGAATGAAATGATTTTGAGGTTCCTCCAAAAATGTGACATCACTAGAAAAGTAATGAGATTATTACATTATTACATTGACATTACAGCTCAAATCAAAGTGACACTTAACTTAAAGTTCATTTATTTCAATAGAAACTATATACCATTTAATCTAGATCTAGTTCTATAACTCCAAACTTTCTGGGGTTGCTGAGGGAATCTGCAAGCTTTAGCCTTAGATTTTGAAGACATCATTGTTCTCCTGTTACACATACTCACACATACACACCGAGAGAGGGGGGGAGGGAGAGGGAGAAAGAGAAAGAGAGAGATCATGACACAATCTAATCTTTGTTAGACATAAATGAAACTTTCACCTTTCAACTAATCAAATGAAAGAGTTTAGTACCATAATACTCATAATCTAAAATACATTAGAGCTACTGTAAAATTGAATATGGAAGAAATTCATAGAACAGTAACAATATTATTTTAAATACCATGACTGTTGCACCGGGATGTTTCAACAAGTCTATTGCTTTGATCATAACAAGCCATGGCTTGATAACGGTAGCCTTGTCCACACTCTTTGATATCTCCTTGAACTTTCATTCCCATAAGTATGTCCACTTTGCCTTCAGGTAATATACAGTCTGACCAGTTCCCAACTGGCTGGGCATTGTATTTGTCACATTGGCAGAATTGGGTCTCAATGAGTGGATATAGTTGAGGATTTTTACATTTCTCTTTCTTCTTACTCTTCCCTGAAAGACAGAGAGAAAGAGTTTCAGAAAGCGTTTTCTTGACTCTGACATTAAATTTGGTTCATACCCTAAATGAGTGTATGTGGGAAAATACATTGCTGACTGGACAGGTTGAATATATTTACTTTGAAGTATAACAGGTTATCAATTTTTAAAACAATAATAAAACACTTTTTCCCCAAAGTCAATATAAAACATTGAAATTGATGGGGGGGAAATCATATCTGTTAGGTCAGGTCTACTTTTCTCAGCTTAGCAAGTCTCAGTATAAATGCCAGTTCAGCTTTCATATCTGCAAACAAACGGGTAGTGATGAACTTACTATAGAATAGCATAACAGGGTTGGAAGGGACCTTGGAGGTCTTCTAGTCCAACCTCTGGGCAAAATCATCAGACTGGAGAGATTACAAGCCATGTCACTTTATGCATAAGATGTATACACAATGAGCTATGTGTAAATTTTAACTATAAAATACCTATATTAAGTTTTAATGTTAATTCTGATACACATATTTGAAATTTAGAATAATTTGAGGCCTTTTGTATGAATTTTCAAGAATGGGGAATAATTAATAATATCACTGATGAGGAATAATGGATGGTCTCAAAGAATAAATGTTTCTTAGCAATATTCCTTCCATTTACTCCCGGAATAATGTGATCAATTGAACTTCCAATGAAAGATATATTTTGTTGCCTGGGCCACATTTCCTTTAGCCTTAATTGGGTACTCAACATTCCAACTTAATCTACAATACCATGATCCTATGCCTTGTGTGAGTGTTCCCATAAATACAAAACAGTTGTTTGTTGTTTTCTTCTTACTGGTATTGGTTTTCATCATTTCTACAGCAGTTGTGGCAAAAATATCTTTAAATTGTGTGTTTATATCAATTTTTTCTCATCTAAATCTAAGTATTAAATCACTTTTCACTTTATTGCCATTTCTACTGTGACACACATGTAATATTTTTGAAAAGTCAGCATTATTAGGTTTGCTAGTATGCAAGAGGATAAGTAAATATACCATTGGTAATCTCAGCTTTAATTAAATTTGGAAGTTCTTTAAAACAAACAATCAACATACTTTGTAGAAAGCATCCTGGGCTATTAATTGATCAGCCTTTAGTTTGGATTACTGAATAATGCTAAATTTTCTAGCAGAAATATTTCTTTCATTGCTTTATTTTGCAGTTTGGATTATGTAGAATTTTCCTAAATTAAATTTATTCAAGCTATCGGTCTTTGGCTGATATGATGTAGGCATTCAATGTTATGACTAATTATTAGGTTATCAATATTTCTATTATTGAAACAGGTGCATTTTCTCACTTGATGTCAAGATTTTAAAGTTGTCTACTTGTTCCGCAAAATTGTACTATGATTGAAGCTGTAAATTATGTGTAAGATTGCAGACCAAGGTATTTAACTTTTTTAAAAAAATAATGAAACAGAAGCTAAATGCAAATTTATTGATTCCTATTGACAAATGAGATGTTACATTTTCAGGAATCTATAAAGATAGAATTATAAAGCAATATAAACCTGAAATACATGTATATTTCTTATAAAACATAAATGTCTAAATCTGTAGACTTTTATATGAGCTGTTAAAAAAAACAGAACCTTGGCTAATGTAAACTAATCTAGATTTCATGGAAGAAAAGTTCTTAAGGTGTTTTTGCTTTCTAGCAACACTTGCTCTCAGATGTTATTGAACTGGTTAAAGTAGTAAAACTTCCCAATGACCTACCTGTGATTAAACCCTATAAACTTCACCTTCTGCATAACCATATTTATAACTGCACAATTCTTTACTACTTGTGATTGATTCAATATTTAGTCATAATTAAAGTAAAAATGCCTTAAGGAGGGTTGAGTGGGGTGAGCTTTTAAAAAATCAAGATGTCAATCATAATTATGCATTCAATACTCCACCCTTTTCACATGAGATTCAATACATGTGAAAAGATTGTGTTTTTATAGCTGCCATGTTTCCTTCTTACATATATCCTTATGAACACTACTGAATTTAAGTCCTACTACTTAAATTTATCAATGCTAAATATAATTTATTTCCCAGTAAATACAAATATCATTACTCGTACCACCAATACTACTACCAACAACACAGATGCAGATATTTGCTTTAACTCTTACCAATGAGCAAACGCTTCCTTGTTCTAACTGATCCACAGTCCACACCGCAGGCAGAAAATTTTGACCAGGTTGTGAATAGGCAGTCATCTTGGCAAGGAATTTGGCAGAGTTGTGTTAAGGGTGGTAAAGGCCCTGCATATTTGAGGCATTCACCAATATCAACTTGGCTGCCATCTTGTTTGCGACATGTAATAGCTGGAAGCAGGAAAACAGAAGGAAGTATACAAACTAACAGACCTTTTATGTGTTAAACAATGTAACAGCTAACAACAGGCACCCACATTTGATTTAAGAGCAAGGCAATATGTTCATGAATAATATTATTTCCCCTGGGAACTCTCCACAATGGATTCATTTTCAAATATCAGGAAACACAGAATAATGCATAGCTCCTATGTAATTCAAATCAGCAGTTGATCCAAACAGTGTGACATAGAAGTACAATACAAATATACTGTGAAGGAAAGTATACTATTTATTATTGCCCACTTTACAGCATAATTTAACTTCTCTGTATAACTAATTTGAAGAATAATAGATTTTAGGGGGAAAAAACCTGATTCCTGCTCCAATTCTAAATATACTGAAATTATGCATGTGTAAACATATTTCAATCTGGAAACAGCTGTTCTTGGAAAATAAAATTGGTAGGAAAGCAGAAACAATGTGTATCTGAATATTATAATGAAGTGTAATGAAACACAAAAGATCTCCTTTCCAGCAACAATGTCATAAAGAAATTTGTAGACATGAAGGCATTTGATAATAGAATACATTCCTATAACTTACAGAATACAAGATACAGTTTCTTTGAAAGTGTCTATTGAATGATATTTCATTTCATACCATAAGCTAACTGCTATTTTTGGCTAGCAATTCTACCACTTCATAAAACTCTTAACCAGCCATGGACAATTCACTTTCTCCAGCATCTTTTCATTCAACAGAGAAAAGGCTGCTTGTTCCAGTTCTATAAAAAAAGCAAAAACCAAATGAAATGCTTTTGGTAGCTAGCCATACACCCTGTTTTATGGGGATTTTCTTACTAATGTGTCATGCTGATTTCAAAAACATTTACTCCCAATAATGTACAGACTAGGGCAGGGGCAGGCAACCTTGGCTCTTTTATGACTTGTGGACTTCAACTCCCAGAATTCCTGAGCCAGCCATGCTGAAGGGAAAGGAAGAGGTTTCCAAGCTGAGCCATGCTGGCTCAGGAATTCTGGGAGTTGAAGTCCACAAGTCATAAAAGAACCAAGGTTGCCTACCGCTGGACTAGGGTCTAAGAAAAGATTTTATTTTGCAAATAAGACCTTCCCAGATGATTCCATGACCCTGGGACACTGAAACCGTAATAAATATGAATCAATTGCCAAGCATCCAAATTCTGATCGTGTGACCATAGGAATGCTGCAATGGTTATAAGCATAAAAAATGATTTAAGTCACTTTTTTTCAGTGCCGTTGTAACTTTGAATAGTCAAATGGTTGTAAATTGAGGATTACCTATGCTCTTTAGGCCAACCAGCTCATTGGTTATTCATCTCATTTTTAAAAAATTAAAAGCTAGGATTATTCGGGGAAGGGGGAGAAGAATAAGTCAAAAACTAAGTGAAAGGAAGTGGGCCCACAGGAAACTAGCAGAAGCTAATGTAACTACAAATTTGTTTGCATGAAATACAAGCATCCATACGTCTTTCATTGTCTAGAGCAGGACAAAGGGGAAAACAATTCCTCAGACCACCTCTGCTGCAGGTAAAGATACTGGCAAAACCATGCAGGTAATATTTTCTGAAAATTTAGATTTGCCCTTGGGTATCTCAATGCTGTGTCAGAAATAAATCAGTTTAGCTGCACAGATGATAGTGTACGAACATACTAATATGAAACTGATTCAGGAATGTCAGAGTGCCCACAATGCAAGAGTACTCACACAGAGATGGCTATCTGGCATGAAATGAATGATTCTTGTCAAGGTATATATAGATAGCATTCTCTAACCCCCAAATATCTTTTCTATTAACAGAAAATGTTAATGATAAATTATTTAATAAGCCATAGAACAAAAGCTGCGGTAAGCAAAATAATAGTATGCTTATATACCAATCCATGGAAACCTTCAAATTATACACATTCTAAAACAATTTAAGTCGCACCCAAGTCCACTATTTTACTAGCATAGTGCAAATAGCATTTGAGACTAGAAATCAGTCTCTTATCACATTGTGCCAGGCTAATAATTAATCGCTCTGCTTACATTAAATTGATTACAAGCATTAACACTAAGAATCAGAAATGTGCTTATTCTGGATTAACCAAAAGAATTGCAGAATACTCCCATAAACCACAAGGACGCAGTTGCCAATTATATCCAATTTAACAAGCATTCAGTTCACTTAACATACTATTCACCTGCTTGATATCTCAGGCTTCCTAAAAGAGTTATCCGAAATAAATTGCACTTCTAATTTTGCAAACAGAAGACTGATACAATTATAGCTGATAGTATTGCTTAAACTATACCACAAGGGGACATGGACTCATAAATTAATATTATGTGGATAATTACATACAAAATCTGCCCGGTGTATGAAAATAATTTTTAATGAAAAAAAAATCTCTAAACTATTTCTATTGCCTAGTCAAATACAACCAAATTATACAAGCTGTAAAAATGTACTGGTGTTATTAAATTGCTTTAAGGTATTTTATATTTCATACAAATTATGCATTATTTATTTGTAATTGGATGTTATCTTCAAAGACAATATGTTCATGACCCCACTTTTTCTTTTTAAAGTACATATTTACCCTGAAAATATATGTAGTTTTGAGTCCTCTTCATATTTATTTACTTCCTATGTTTTCTGGTGGACAAAAGGACACACTGCACTGAATTATTTTGCATTCTTGTTTTTTCTTTGGGTAGCAATTGATTTAATTCTTTCTTCTAGTTCTTACCTACAGACCTACATTCCTCCAATTAGATGAGTTATGATATATGTTTACAATACAGGCATGTCAAGAAAAGCTTTCTGCCCAAGTTGGAATACAATTGCCATCAATACTTTTCTAGTATCATGCAAAGATAAAAAAAATTCCAGATGAATCATCTTGTTGTTCTAATCTCTCTTATATGATTAGAACAAGTCATATGAGTCACAATTGTTAGTTTTTGCCTTGAAGATTCTTCAGCAAACTGTTGAGTTTTTGAAGATCAGGAATGTAATTCTATGAAAAAGCAGCATCAAATGCTTAATCATGTATAGACATTGCCTACTTTCAGCTGTGAGTTTCAAACTAGTATTAGAACTAATTCCTGAGAATATACATAGATTTAGTTATTTAAAAATGTAGAAGAATTTAGCAAAGCCTTCTGAATAAAGCCAGAATTTTAAGAATTTAGTCAGGTTTTTGCATTTTTCACATGCCACTGTGTATTTTGATGGTATGCTGGGGCATGCACTCCTAAACCCTCCCTCGCCCCTTAAACTTTGTAGTTATTTCCCCAAAGTTGCTGCTGTTATTAACACAATATGTGAATTGATTTATTGTGTTAAGTACATAGCAAGTAAGGAGTTGGGGAGAAAAAAGTAGAGGAAATTGGAAATGTTTTCACTGACAGAACTGAAAAAAAAAATGTCCTCCAATTAAAGTTGTAGCATATTCATTTACATTGGTATGATCTGAAACAAAAGCACATTTATGCAAGACAGATAGAATCAGAGTTCTCTTGAAGGATGACCCCTTATGTTATTTTTTTTATTCACTCCTGAATGCATCACAGCTCAGCATGATTAAAAAAAAGAAAGCTGAAAACACAAACATATTACTTTAATTATAACAACAATGTGAGCATTCATTCCAATTACAATTGGGAACTGACAAGGGTAGGCTTTTCCATGTTTTCACTTAATTTTTGCCAACTTCATTTAATTTCTAATTAACCCACGAAAAACATCACCCAAGCTAAATGAGAAAGATTAATTGTCAAGCATATGCATATTTGAATCATTCTCTTCTGATGTAGCTAAACTCAGTATTCACATTTGGCACAGAAAGGCAAAGTCCAAGATTGAAGCCAACATCTTTCTATTGCTGCTTTACTATTCATTTATTAATTTAATGACAGACATTCCACCACCACCCCCAGAAGAAAAGCCCAGGACCAAATGGTTGGATTCCTCTACATACAGCTTAGAGCAGAAGAGCACAATGCTGAGCTCCTCATGGCTAATTAGAAAACCCCAAAGATCCTCTAAAAGTTGTCACCAAACTGCACCTCTGAATGTGAAAGGAGGGGAAAGTTATTAAAACCCTTGTGGAGCAATCATATTAGCCATGTTTAATTAATGTAATTTGTTTTAATTAAAATGCAAATTGAATTAAATCACATTGAGTTGTTATCCTGGCCCCAGTTTTATCTTGGCTTACTATCTGGAGTGTAGCCCTGATGTGTTAGTTAAAAGCCATTCATGTCTTTTGTCTTGAAAAATGATGTGCTACCTGGTCTGGAGGGATTCTGGGAAAGTGAAAATGGAAACTATAGCAGCAACAGCAGCAGTCACAGCATAATCTAGTGCTCCTCAGCACCACTCATATCCTTATTGCTTCTTGCTGCTGCTCAGCTATTCACTTACTAGAAAGATTTCTAAACTGATACTGAAGAGGGGATTTTGTTTAGACCTCTCCAGTTTATATGCTAAATCTGGGATTGATTGTGTACCAACAATGTTCTGTCCTTGAAGCTCTATATATTGAATAACAGGACACCTCAAAATGCAAGCAGAGAGTCAACAGAATACAAACAGCTGAGGAGAGAAAAATCTTCATGAAAGTGTAAACCCAATAGTGACATCCATATGATAAATATCATGAATTAGTTTTAGTGCTTCTAACCTCTTGCTTGTAGACCTGGACCACATGTCTCTTGGGCACCTGGGCTGTCTTGCCGAACATACCATGGTACAAGTTGGCATCGGCGCCATTTGTGTGTCTTCCATCTGCAGGAAAAAAAAACCAAACACCAAATGACTATGTGAACACAGGTCACAGTAATGTATTGAAAGTGCTTACTTTCAATAAGTCTAACAAAATGGCAATCTCAAGCTGATCCTTGCTGGTGGGGAAAAATAGGATCATACTTGAATGGCTTGACTGGCAAAGGACATTTTAAAATAGCAATCATCCTCATTCAGAAGAAAGCAGTGACAATCTATTATTTTATTAGCAAGAATTAGCAAGAAAATTACATATATGCTCTGATCACAGCTTCATTACTTGCAAGAGATTCTAAAGATTCTTAAATATAGACAGAAAAATAATCACATGACTTTTACTCTGTTCACTTACACTGAAATTAAAGTTTAACTTGTTATCTTTACCTTGATTATCTTCATATCTTTAAAAAAAAATGTGGTTGAAGGGCAATTTTTGTAGCCAGCAACTAGATGGCTGTTTGCATTTAGAACTTTTCAGTCTAATCTGTAACCCTGTGTTTGCCTGATCATCTTCCATTCAAGAACCCCATCATTCTAAAACTTTAATTAGCTTTTTTCAGGCTAATCCTCTTCCCAATCCTGGACATATAAGACAGGCTTTTTATAGTTTCATAAATAAAGGAAAATGGCAAACTGCTATCAAAGGTATAACTTCCCCCAAAAGAAACTTCCACCTCCCTCATGTATGTAACATGGGTCACATCTAAAACATTTAAGTGTGATTCTTGGCTCCCCCCAAAAGGCAACTCTTCTGTGTTCTAGAGTGAGAGAGGTCAAAAGGAGTTTTAATTAAAAATAAAGTGTCACCTATAAAACAAGCAGACAGGAGGAGGATCACAATCTTTTTCTTCATATAAGGTCTCTGGGCAGTCACGGCCCCCATTTGCCGGGAGCTGCAAGATGACTCGATGTCGAGACTGTTTTGATACAGTAACAACCGACCCTATGAACAAACATACAAACATCCATTTTGCTTCTCTTGTTATTGGACCACTGCGCTGAAATTTGAGAAATTATAAAGACACTGCTCTACTAGTTGCTGACTACTTCAAAATACATTTTAAATATATTTGAAAAAACATAAAACAAACATAATTTAACTATTAGGTTAAAACAAAGTATAAATAAATAATGCATTTGCACAGAAGAAAAAACCCAAATCATGTATTATACTGTCATAGTTTATATTTGAATATTTTATAAAGTTCTCACATTTATTTTCAAAGTGATTTTCTATATATATTCAGTTCAACTATAATGCCCATGGTAACTTACTTTGGAAGGTTGTATCTTACATTTAATATACCCTTCCCTTGATTTAGGCATCTAAGATCATCAGTATTTCATGCATATCTCTCATGTACAGTCAAATACTCTTATTTATTTACCTCTTGCACACTCTTCCAAACTATGCTGCACCCCTGTGTACCCTTCCTGATCCTACAACCCAATATTGTTTTGATCATAGATAATCTTGCGATTTCTATCAATAGTGGGAACTTACTAAGATATTTAAATTGCCAAACTCATAACAAAAGCATTTTTATTGCTGATCAAGAATTAGAAAGATCCAAGTTTATTTCACCATTCAATTGTGAAGCTTTCTAAATGAGACCATTATAACCTTTCACACTTATCTGACAGAATGAAATACTAAAGGTAATAAAGGTGAGGAGGAACAGATTTCAATGCATTTCCTTGCATTCTTGAAGGAACGATGAGATATGAATGAAATTCATAAATAAATCATAGAGATTCATAAATAAATAATAGAGATGCCAATCCTGACATCCAGCATAGTTGTTCATTGCTGCCATGTTTACATGGAGGTGCAAATGCAATGAATCGTTGTGTTATAAAAAGAAATGATCTCGATACTGCAATTAAAGAACTACCAAAGTATTATCCACCCTGTCCACTACTCTATACTTAATACATTGGAACCACATATCTAGTTCCTGTTCTTCGCTATCATATTAAATATTTCAGGCACTTCTTTAAAGCCTAGAGTTTCAACATGCTCTTTGTTTTCAGTTACAAGTTTAATCTGCCTAATCCTTTATTAGTTGGTAAATACTTTAATTAGCAACCAGAGTAGCTCTAAAAATAACCCTGTATTGATCTCACGTTTTACACAACATGGAGCACAGGCTGTGAACTAAACAGGGTATCTTTTCAGTACAACAAGGACAGGACTTCAGCAAAGAGGGAGTGAAAGCAAACACCATATGCCACAAGGAGATTAACTCACATAAATGAGGAATTATATTATTGACTCTAGTAATAACAGTGCATATATATTAAGATAAACGCCTCCTGCTAGAGACAAAGGGATAAAGCAGAAATATGTGGACAAAATTCAGGCCATCAAAACTACTTTGGAAATATAATTAGGGTGTAGAAGAAATTCAAAAAAAATATAGCATGTAAAATTGTAATTTCAACCAGTTACGTTAAACATCTGGTAAGATGTGCCCAGTTAGGATTCCTAAACTTTATCTGCATGGTGTTTACCGTATATTTCGGCATATAAGGCAACCCGGAGTATAAGACGACCCCCGACTTTGGCACCGAGTTGCATGCCTAGAAAGTCGTCTTATACGCCGGAAACTACCGTTATTTCCGACATATAAGACAAGGCGTATAAGACGGCCCCGACTTCGGCGCAATTTTAACGCTTGCGAAAGTTGTCTTATACGCCGGAAAGTACGGTATTTTTCCAGAATAGTATTTTAACAACAACAACAATAATAATAATAATAATAATAATAATAATAATAATAATAATAATAATAATAAAAGTTAGAAGGGACCTTGGAGGTCATCTAGTCCAATCCCCTGCTCAGGCAGGAAACCCTATACCATTTCAGACAAATGGCTGTCCAGTCTCTTCTTAAAAACTTCCAGTGTTGGAGCATTCACCATTCTGGAGGCAAGTTGTTCCAATGGTTAATTGTTCTAACTGTCAGGAAGTTTCTCCTTAGTTCTTGGTTGCTTCTCTCCTTGATTAGTTTCTATCCGTTGCTTCTTGTCCTGCCTTCAGGCGCCTTGGAAAATAGCTTGACTAATTGTTCTGTCAGAAAATTTCTCCTTAGTTCTATGTTGCTTCTCTCTTTGGTTAGTTTCCCTCAATTGCTTCTTGTCCTGCCCTCAGACGCTTTGGAGAATAGCTTGACTCTCTCTTCTTTGTGGCAGCCCCTGAGATATTGGAACACTGCTATCATGTCACCCCTTGTCCTTCTCTTCATTAAACTAGACAGACCCAATTCTAGCAACTGTTCCTTATATGTTTTAGCCTTCAGTCCCTATTATCTTTGTTGCTCTTCTCTGCACTCTTTCTAGAGTCTCAACATCTTTGAGATGACTACCTAACAAAATTTTCCCATAAGGAATAATGTAGTGAGTCACAAGGCATCTGACATTGACAGGTTCTAGCTTACACATTGAAAACCAAACAAACAATGAGTACTGGGACAAAATTTTCATGACAAAATTTGATGAGTTTCAAAGCAGCTGAGTAACAAAGTATTATTGTATATATCAGGTCACTTTCTTAATTTCCATTATATCCTTCCATAAATTGAACAAATGTAATCAATACCAGACATGTGCACAGAGTCAACTAAAAGAACATTTCTGTTTAAAATTATATTAATATTTACCAAACTGAGAGATCCATCTCAATAGGAAGGTTAGACTTTAATCAATGGATAAAAAAAGATCAGAAGAAATAATGAAGGCTATTTACTAAAACATAATGCTCATAGAGATGGAGAAAATAACTATGAAAATCAGTAAGAATTACAAATACCTTTCAGAGTAGGTTTGGGGGTCAAGATTATGCAGAAGGTGGGATTTTAGATAACACATTAATTAGTTCAACATAGTTTTCAGTATTATTTTTTTTACTGAATGCTCAAGCGATTTTTTTATTTGTTAATGCATTTCTTTTTTATTTGATTTGATTCAATTTATGCATAGATATGTGATGTCCTAATCAGGATGGGCTACAAATCAATCTATCAAATAAAATTATTAAAAACCGAAACACTGTAATCCTTGCAACTGTTGCCCAGAATAACACAGAGACAGAAAGAGATATTTTATCATCCTACAAACACCTGATATAGAAAGATTTGTTCTGGAACAGAAAGTTATGTTCTTTTCCTCCGGCCACTTTTAAAAGGCTGAAAGAGGTTCCTGATACAGATATATTTCTTCCCTGACAGAAAAAAAACTACTATGTTCTAATCAAGCAATAAGAACCAGAATGCTAAAATAATCCAAAACGCTGTAATAGATACTCTTAAATAATTGACCAATAAAGTAGAATTTCAATGCGTTTTGGAAGTAGTTGCAGCATATTTAATTACAGCTCATTTAATTCTAGTGAGTTTATTAGCAGCCACTGAAAAATCAGTTACTGTTAAAACTCCAATTATACTTGCTTAAATCACATTAAAATCTCACAACATAAACCTTGAAAACTTGTGATGAGGTTAACAGCCTGGAGAAGGAATTCAAATTATTTATCTATAAAAGTCAAGCCCAGTACCTTCTTGACATAAAGAAGGACACAGTGTCCAATCACTGTAAGGAGTCACAATGCAGTCTTTTCTGCAGGGCAATAAACAAGGTCTAACAGTTTCAGGACGAAGGTTTTCGGGACACCTATAAAAAACAATGAAAACATTAAATGTTCAGTGAAAACCATATGGTACTTGTCAAAGTTGTAATAGAAAAGATGAAAAGGAAATAATTTTTTTAAAGAAAATTTCATTACCTTTCAGAATCATGGATCATATTGTTCATCTATTCCACATCTATTGATGTTTCTGTACCTAGTAGGGTTTTTTTTGCATCCCAATAATTCAGAGGGAACCTCTGCTAAACCATAAGAACTGAACAATATCACAAAAGTCTTCTCTATACTCAAGAGAATTTCAGCAGTTTTTGTGGTTATGCAATGGAATACAATTTTCTATATTTGGCATAATTCAGTAGTAACTGTACCAGGATTATTTCATAGGTTGATCACATAAATTTGATTAATAGAATTTTGAACGGAAGCTGTATCTGAAGTCTGGAAAGATATTTTGTTTTGTGCAAGAAATAGGAAAGGATACTCCAGGGAAATGCACACTAGTCTGATTAAATCGGAAGGCAATAAACTGCCAGATCATAATTCAACATGGATTATCAAAAATTGAAAACAAAATTATTACCATATGGTAGATTCATCATATTATTCCCTATAGTTCCCTAACTCAACTGTTCATCTAAAGATGTCTATTACATATTCCATCTTCTGATCATAGTTTTTGTTTTCTTGCTTTTAAATCAAGTTGTTGAGATTATAATTACATCTGCAGCTATCTCTCTTTCTCTCTCAAACCTCCAACCTTATTCAAGGTCAAATTAAACTGAAGTCATATAAACTGAAGTCTGTTACTCTAAAAATAAAGCCGATAATATTGATTGTATCTTTTCCCACTAATTCTTTTTATTAAGAGAAGTAAAATCATGGTTCTCATTTGCACTTTTATGTACATCTTCTGCTCTTTAAAATCTTATTAAGTGACATGAGCATGATGGTTCAAGACATTAACTAACATATTTCAGTTTTTCCTTCATGAGACCCCATCTATTATATATTGCTACTAACATATTGGAAACCTAGTGATCAATATATACATTTGGAAATAACACTTCTAATAGATGCAGCTGTTTTGTAAGCCAAAATAAAATACTGTAGTTTCAATCCAATGCATTTGTATGAACAAATTTGGACCTGTTTTTAACATTATTCTATTCTGTTCTGAGTTCCATTCTGACATGGAATTATGTCTATAAATACAAGTAGTTTAGAAGACATTTAGGTTCTAGTGTTATATTTACTTTTTGGGTGGTACTTGTCCCATGTTGAGTCTCACACAGATGACTTTCCTCGTTTGCATTCCAACAGCACAGGTGGCTTCTCCATTCCAACCAGCGGAAGAGTTGAATGCGGACACAGAAGTATCTTCTATGCATTGCCCCCACTGTCCAGTCTGCCAGTGATAAACTGTGCAAGGATGTTCATTGCAAGTGCGTGTTTCCTGTAGCATGCTGATATTTGGGCACTGAAGGCCACCTAGAAGAAATAATGTTGGAATATACAATAGGAGAAATAAAAAGAATTATAACTGTAATGGGAAATAAATAGATGATATATCTAGCATTCCTACTCTCCCACCCAAATACATAATTTTAATCAAGGTGGGGAGAAAAAAAATAGACAAGCATTAAGCTGTTTGTTATACTAAGCTTTTGACTGAAAGGGCTCTTCAGCTGTAGCCTGAATGCTCCTCTCTGAAAACAACATGAAATATATCCATGCATCTAGAAAAGACACAAAAAGGGATCTTGTCCAGTGTTTTCTCTGATTATATGATTTTATGTGTCAGATGCTTTTGTTTAAAATCATAGCTAAAATTATACATTAATCTACAACTTTCAATATTTTTGTCATAAGATATTGAATAGAATTATCTCAACTTATGCACCAGTCTGTATTATTCCCTCTTCTCCGTACACCACAGATGAACATTTCCAGAATTAATTAACCATATCATTATGTTATTATATCTGAACTGGGAAACTGTAGTTAATAAGACTAGGAAAGTTCAGCATCTGAACCTAGCTTCAAATTAAGAAGGCAGCAGCCAAATTTTTTAATTCTTGTAACCAAAGATCCCTAGTTAGAACACAATTTTGTGATTATAAGCACAAAAGAGACACAATGAGTCTTTTGATATTTCTGAACTATGTCATATATGTCCCATATTACATTGCATTTTTAGATACAATAAGTAATAAGAGATTGTGGATGTTTAATCTAAAAATCCATTAGATCACATTACTTGGGACAAAAGTAGAACTGAATTAGCATTAAGAGACTATTTTCATTACCTATGGCTATCAGAATGTCTTCAAATGAATATCACTAACAAACAAAACATTAATTGGAAATTACAGCCTCTCTCTACTGAACATGTATTGTTCATCATTGCAATATTGGAAATTCAATGAAAAGGGAATAATAATAATAATAATAATAATAATAATAATAATAAGGAGGAGGAGGAGGAGGAGGAGAACAGTGATGAAGATGCACTGAAATTAAGGAAGGCTTACTGACCACTGGAGAGACCAAACTGCCCTACAAGAAAGAACAAATGAAGAACAGAATAGAGGTATGGGAAGACAAAGCACTACATGGCCACTACATTAAAAAAAAAAAAATAGCTGGGAAAGCAAATAATAACAAGACCTGGCAATGGCTAAGAGCAGGAAAATTGAAGAAAGAGACTGAGGGACTAATTCTGGCTGAACGAGACCAAGCCTTAAGGACAAATGCATACAAAGCCAAAATTGAGAAGACAGCAACAGACAGTAAGTGCCACCTATGCAAAGAAGCTGAAGAAACAGTGGACTACCTGGTAAGCTGCTGCAAGAAGATCACACAAACTGACTACAAACAGTAAACAAGAACTGGTGGGATCATAAAACAGAGAAAGTCATAGAAAATGATAAAATTAAACTGCTCTGGGACTTCAGAATTCAAACAGACAAGCAACATAACACCCGGACTTAACAATTGTCGATAAGAAAGACAAAAAAGTCTGGATAGTGCACGTGGCAGTGCCTGGAGACAGCAGAATAGATGAGAAAGAACTGGAGAAGATAACAAAATTCAAAGACCTACAAATAGAAATAGAAAGACTGTGGCAAAAGCAAGCAAGGGTAGTACCAATAGTAATAGGCGCCCTTGGGTGCAATCCCAAAACAACTGGAGCACCACTTGAACACCATTGGCATTGACAAATTTGCCATTAGTCAATTGCAAAAGGCGGCCTTACTGAGAACTGCTTCCATCCTGTGATGATATCTGTAATACCATCAAACATCCACATCTGCCTATCCCAGATTCTTGGTAAGGACTCGATAGGTAGACAAAATGCCAAATCTGGCTGATTATGCGATGATCAATAATAATAATAAAGTTGGAAGGGACTTTGGAGGTCATTGAGTCCAACCCCCTGCTCAGGCAGGAAACCCTATACTATTTCGGACAAATGGCTGTCCAGTCTTTTCTTAAAATCTTCCAGTGTTGGAGCTTTCACCGCTTCTGGAGGCAGGCTGTTCCACTGGTTAATTGTTCTGTTACGAAGTTTCTCTTTAGTTCTAGGTTGCTTCTCTCCTTGATTAGTTTCCATCTTCTTGTCCTGCCTTCAGGTGCTTTGGAGAATAGCTTGACTCCCTTTTTTTGTGGCGGCCTCTGAGATATTGGAACACTGCTATCATGTCCCCCCTAGTCCTACTCTTCATTAAACTAGACATACCCAATTCCAGCAGCCGTTCCTTATATGCTTTAGCCTCCAGTCTCCTAATCATCTTTGTTGCTCTTCTCTGTACCCTTTCTAGAGTCTCAACATCTTTTTTACATCGTGGTGACCAAAACTGGATGCAGTATTCCAAGTGTGGCCTTACCAAGGCATTGTAAAGTGATATTAATACTTCACGTGATCTTGATTCTATCCTTCTGTTAATGCAGCCCAGCACTGTGTTGGATTTTTTGGCAGCTGCAGCACACTGCTGGCTCATATTTAAGTGATTGTCCACTAGGACTCCGAGATCCCTCTCACAGTTACTACTATTGAGCAAGGTACCCCCTATACTATACCTGTACATTTGGTTTTTCTTGCCTAAATGTAGAACCTTACTTTTTTTACCATTGAATTTCATTTTGTTAGATAGCACCCAGTGTTCAAGTCTATCCAGATCCTCCTGTATCTTAAGCCTGTTTTCTGGAGTGTTGGCTATTCCTGCCAGCTTGGTGTTATCCGCAAATTTGATGAGTTCCCCATCTATCCCCTCGTCCAGATCATTGATGAAGATGTTGAAGAGCACTGGGCCTAGATCAGAGCTCTGGGGCACCCCACTACACACTTCCCTTCATGTAGATGTGGTTCCATTGAGGACCACATACTGAGTACAGCTGGTCAGCCAGCTATGGATCCATCTGGTGGTGATGCTGTCTAACCCCCATTTTTCTATCTTATCAAGTAGTAGGTTGTGATCTACTTTGTCAAATGCCTTACTGAAGTCCAAGTAAATTATATCCACAGCATTCCTCTGATCCACTAATTTTGTCACCTGGTCAAAGAATGCAATAAGGTTTGTCTGGCACGATCTGTTTTTGACAAACCCATGTTGGCTTTTGGTATTGACTTTGTTTGCCTCTAGGTGTTCACTGATTCATTGTTTGATTATCTTTTCCAGAATCTTCCTAGGTATTGAGGTCAGGCTGATACATCTGTAATCCTGGATCCATTTTTTTTCCCTTTTTTGAAGATGGGAACTACATCAGCTCTTTTCCAGTCCTCTGATAGTTCCCGTGCTCCAGGATCTTTGAAAAATATAGTTCAGTGGTTCCAAGATCACATTTGCCAGTTCCTTGAGAACGCTGGGGTGTAATCCATCTGGTCCTAGTGATCTGAACTCGTCTATGCTGGACAAGTGCTCACTTACCATTTTCTTGCCTATGTTAACATGTTTCTATTCTGTTTTTTATGGCATATATGTATATGTATACACACACAGACACACACACACACACACACACACACACACACACATTTTTAAATAAGATATATAATGCCAAACAGGTCTTATGACCTTCTCTGTTTTTGTTCACTAGTACTTCAAATTCCCAGTAACAGTATGCTAGTGCTAGGAAGTAAGAGCCAAAAATATATCAGGGATTAATTATTTGTATACTAACTTTAAAAAACAAAGTGGCTGTTGTCTCTGCATGTATACACTAATTTCATCAGAGAAAGAGGTAAGATTAGTAATTTTATTTCTTTCCCCCTCTTATCTTTTCTTGGCTTGAAAGTCAACATTAAGAAAACTAAAATCATGGCATCTGGCCCTCTCAATTCCTGGTAAATAGATGGGGAAGAAATGGGAGGTAGTGACAGATTTTATCTTCCTGGGCTCCAAGATCACCACAGATGGGGACTGCAGCCAAGAAATTAAAACATGCTTGCTCCTGAGGAGGAAAGCTATGGCAAATCTAGACAGCATACTAAAAAGAAGAGACATCACCCTGCCAACAAAAGTATGTATAGGCAATTGGGTTTTCCCAATTGCAATGTATGGATGTGAAAACTGGATTGAGAAAGGCTGAGTGCAAAAGAATTGAGGCCTTTGAACTGTGGTGCTGGAGAAGATTCCTGCAAGTTCCCTGGACTGCAAGGCAATCAATCCAGTCAGTCCTAGAGGAGGTCAACCCTGACTGCTCTTTAGAAGGAAGATCCTGAAGTTGAAACTCAAATACTTTGGCCACCTAATGACAAGGAAAGACTCACTGGAGAAGAGCCTAATGCTGGGAAAGATTGAGGGCAATAGAAGAAAGGGATGACAGAGAATGAGGTGGCTGAATGGAGTCACTGAAGCAGTAGGCGTGAGCTTAAATGGACTCCAGAAGATGGTAAAGGATAGGAAGGCCTGGAGGAACGTTGATCATGGGGTCGCGATGGGTCAGACATGACTTTGCAACTAACAAAATCTTTTCTTAATTCTCAACCAGAATTATCATCACATTTCTAAAGCAACTAAAAGAGGCTATTGAGATGTGTATTCAGAAAGAAGATTAAGAATTTTTTTAGCTGTGGCAATAGCCATCAGAAGCCATGCTCTATACTTAATTAATCCAGAAACTTTCTTTTTCTACTTATTATTATATTCCTTCACCATTTTGTCACCAATGATGATTTGATTTGAATATAAGAGTTTGCAGCAAACAATATCTACTAGTCTCCCTTGAGTTTGACTTACATATGCCATAATTGATTTCTAGTGTGCTTCAACAAACATTGTAAACAGCAGTGATGTGCATATTGGGAGAAAATTACACTGTTTGCTGTTTATTTATATTATCAGGCACCAATTTTTGTTCCCTCATCTGGAAATAATTAGCTTGATTATGACACTGGTTAAAAAGTCAGGCCTACTTTCATAATTTAATTATGATATTCAGAAAGGTAGAAGAAATACCATATAGTTAAACTGCTTTGTCATAAAAACTGAGAATTGCCAAAATACAGTCACGTTTCTAATCTTGCAGGCAGGAAAATCTGATATAGTCAGATATTCCCTGTGTTACTATGTAAAAGAAGCTTCTTAAATTTGCCACATTTTAAAATGAGTTTCATTTCATATAAAGATAAGTGATCTGCACTGACAGTATCCCAATCATCTCCAAATTCTGGGATAATTTTTTGCCAAATCCGAAAACCTATTATCTCTTGTCTTTCCCCATTATCTGATTATATTTCAATAATGGCACTTGCCTAAATATGGTTTCATCACCTCCCAGCCATTGTTGCAGGTTTAGCAATATGCTAAATATCTAAAATGTTCTACACTGTGAACAAAGGAATATAGTTAATATCTATTGCCTTAGAAAAGCTAAGAGCTTAAGGCTCAATATTACTTCTTTACATGGCTCTCAAGCCTTTAGCATCATGAAAAATTAAGCATGAAACAATTTGAGGCTCATTTGTGGCTCATAAATCATAGAGCTGGAGTACCTATGCTTGGAAAAACCTCCACCTTCCTGTTGAAAAAGCTTTTAAAAATGTATTTATAGGCTGCCATATGCCAAAGGCTTAGAGGTGGAGAGAGTAACAGATGTTTTGAGTTATAAAAGTAGATCTATTCCTCCCTTTGGACTCCTAGCAGATTTGTTCCAAAGTTTCTGGGGAAAGAGACATTTGAAAACATATATAGCTTATCATATTTTTTTCTTTGCTCTCTCCCTGCTCTCTCTCTGAGAGAGAGGGAGGAGGGAGGGAGGGAAGAAGGGAGAGAGGGAGAGAGAGAGGGAGAGGGAGAGAGGGGGGAGGGAGGAAGAGGGAGAGAGAGGGAAAGAGGGAGGGAAAGAGGGAGGGAGAGAGGGAAGAGAGGGAGGGAGAGAGGGAGAGAGAGAAAGAGGGAGAGGGACAGGGAGAAGGAGAGAGAGAGAGAGAGAGAGAAACAGACACATGGATTACAGGGGAAAAGGTAACAACTTCTCAAAACAATAGCTGATGGGAACAAGTGATCCATATATAGCTTCAAACATATTTCTTCTACACAGATAGCTTCTGAATTTTTACTAACATTTTGACAAGAAGCTAGTACTACTTCCAAGAGCCAACCATTTTTTCCCTATCTCAGTCACTAATGTATATATTTTAAAGTTTAAATCAAAACATTTTTTGTTCCTCATTCCACTTTTAATCTAAATATGTGAATTATATAATATGAAATTCTGGGATGATTAACTGGTCATTAACAAGTAAACAATAGAAACTATGTAAATATTTTAGCCTTGGAGATATTAAGAATTCAATTCTGCAGGAAGACTAACACTAATTTAATGAGATTGGCTATAATAAGAGAATCCTACAAGTCTGACTGTATTATTATCAGTTCCTCCATCTTAGAGTTCAATTTAGTAGGGAGGTATATGTCTCAGCTGCTTCCTAATGTTACAGTTCTGGACTTAGAAAATACTTTAGTCCTTTTTGCATAGGGAACAGAATCTGCAGATCTCTGTTAAGGTTATCCTCTTTATTCTGTAAAGTTATACTTTTCAAAGATTATTCTTTTAAATATTTTTGTATATAGCTCCTTGAAAATAATGCAACTTTCTCAAATGTATGTTGGATGGTAATGGGTTCAGTTCATTGGTGCTAATCAACACAGAGCTTTCTGCTGATTCAGGTTCTGTTTTTCCAAGCCACACTACTTCTTTTCTACTGAAATCTGTGGCAGATTTCTTTTACCTCCCTAGTAGAAATAGAATACGAATTAAGTAATTTTCTTCCACTTTGAAATGTAAATTGTCTGAGAATGACAATATATATATATATATATATATATATATATATATATTTGCCATTCTCAGACAATTTACATTTCAAAGTGGAAGAAAATTACTTAATTCCACTTACTTATTTGCCCTCAAAGAATTAAATCTTCCTTTGTAGCATAGAAGCTAAATCAAATCATGCACTAGGAACATTATAATAGACATTAGCAAATTAAAAATAATTCCATTAAAATATATGTAATGCTGAGAAAGCCAAGTATACATTTTTCTTTTCTTTTAAAAATTAAAATGGCTACTGAACAAACAAAATTACTATTTAAATACTGGTAAGTTTACACTAAAAGATTTCTTGGGGTAGGAATGAAGAAAATATAAACAGGCACCTGCCATCTAAAGCTAAATGTGGAAAACAAAATGCAAGAAGGGAGATTAAATAATTTAAAAATAAGACAAGAGAATATAAGATGAGATATTAGCCTTAACTGCTAGAAGCATCAGTTCTGGTACTGTCAGTCTTCTGGGGCCAGATGAGCTAATTCTACTTTATTGTAAAACTACATCGACAGAATCTTACAAGTCTGACATTTCTTTTCCCCCCTCCCCCCCTCCTTTACAGCTAGGAACAGCCTTTTTTGAACTTCTTGCCCCATCCATTATCCAGCTGCAGGCTATCCTGTGTCTTATTTGATCTTTCCCTTTGCAGTATCTCTTTGCACAGTCTCCCAAGGTCATTTCTATATAACATTACAGGTATTTCACAACTCATTAATACATGGCAAATCACAGTGAAAATAGTGTATACTCTACTTGCCAATACTGTTAATGGTCTTTCTAAAATATTATGAGAGAAATCATTTTTCCTTGTTCCCCCTTTGCCATGAATCCTAAGAAAATAATACATGCTCGTGTTTGTGTATTGAAAAAATGCTAATAGATGGTCTTACCTTCACCTGCATATGCAAGGACGGAGCGGGTGCGCATCTGTTTTCCTTCTGTGGTTTTCCCTGAGCAGGTGTGAGAACAGGAGGACCATCTAGACCATGTGCTGAGAGCACAGTCCTTTGGGCATGGAATTTCACAGACAATGGGGACAGGATAGATAGCATCTCTGCAGAGCTGTCTGTCAACTTCTTCTCCTGGGAAAGAAAAGGCCAGTAGCAGTCTATCAGAACTAATTTAACTTCAATTGAACACTCTTAACCCAGATGGGCATATAAATAAATTAGATTTGGTTGCTTTGTTAAAAAAAATAAAATAAACTAATTAGCTATCCAAAGTGAGTGTATCTTTTTCCATGGCTCAGTGCTTGAGAAATTGTTGTAAAATCCATATTCACTCATGCATTCAAAATGGAACTGAATGATGAATGGGAGAAGGTTCATATTTATATTTTGGAAATGTTAGGCAGCAAAAAAATCTTAATTTAGAAAAGAAAGGAAAAAAAATCCTACTTAGATACTATAACAACTATCTTTGTGGGAAAGATATTGCAAATTCATTACTGAACAGCTGAATCATCTTGCAAAACAAATCTAAACAGATTTACTCTAAAGCAAGTTATACAGCAAGGGTAGCTTCCAGTCTCCTGGTCTTCTGGAAGTTCATTAAAATTTGATTATTCCATAATAACTGGATGTTGTAGAGGGCCCAGTGCCTGGAATATTATATTAATTATAATTGATGCCATGATTGTATATTGTATTTCTGTTATTCTATGTTCTTTGTTACTATTTTTGTTTCAGTGGTTCTTGCTTATGTATGCTATTTAGAGACTAGCCTTTAACAAAGAGAGTTATACATTCATTAAAAATAAATAAAACCCCCAAATTTTACTAATTTGTATTCCTCCAGATAAGAGTCCTTTGGTCTAATCACTAAGGGGCCAGGCTAGAAAGCAGGGCAGTTAGAAAGTTAGAAAGTAACTTCCATCTTAGCCAGGAAAGTCCTCTGGGTGACTGAGCCGGTCCCTTTCTCTCAGCCCAACTCACTTCACAGGGTTGTTGTGGGGAAAATAGGAAGAGGAACATATTGGAAATGTTCAGTGCCTTGAGTTATTTGTAAAAAATAATAATGGCAGGCTACAAATAAATAAAATAACAACATCAACAACATTCATTGTATTCCAGACAATATGACCCTAACATTATAGGTATCCTGGCAGAGGTAATCTGTGTTGAAGATGGCTGGTGGACTAATGGAAAAGATAATATCTCTGTACTGTCATAGCCTTCATTTTTTAAAAAGTTTTTATTATGGTAGTTAATGTCTTAATACTTTATATTTATGGTTTTAGTTGTAAGTTGCATTATAGAGTGATAGAGGCAGCAAACAAATTAAATAAATAAGTAAATAAATAGCATTATGGGATTTTTAGTCTAATGTACCTGGAATGCAGCAGTTTGGGTAAGGTTCCAATATATATGGATGAAAAGTTCAGTGACATCATGTATATATTCCTTGGTGGAAATTCAACCAAGAAATTGCAAAGTCATTAACTCTGAGCCAGAGTTAAATCAGCCCAGATCATTATACTGCAATTATGAAGTTATTTCATCTGATCAATTATTTCATCATAATACCTACGGTAATAGAATTGCACTCAAGATGTTCGATATGGCACACAATATGCTATGCTACAATAACATTTTAAAAAAATACAATATTCCAATATCACATTCAAGATAGGAGTCAATACTGATAAATAATTGCTTATTGTCAAAGCTGCTCAGAGAACTGGAAGAAGAAAATACATTATAGTTTTTTTCTTTATGCGAAACTGCTGGCCTTAACATTTTAAAAGAAGTAAAATGTTGAACAAATATGTTGGCAACTGAAAGAGAAGAGGTGCTTTCTTTCTTGATCGCACTGATGTATGATGACATTTTAGCAGCTGGCAGGGAGACCTCTGTTTCTCTCTTGATGCACATACAACACAAAAATATGAAAGATCCTGTGGGCAAAAAATGCTAGTACTCCTAAAGTCTTCAAAATCATTAATTAGAAAGAAGTTTGATTGTCACATAGAAAACAATCAACTGCATCTGTTGGCAGACTCTTTAAAAATTGATTTCATGTTTAAACAGGATAATATTGTCGTGGATTGCCTATTAAGAAAATATGTTCAGATCTAGAGCATGCCATGGTAGGTATTATCTAATTACAAGTAATGAAATGAAATGAGGCATCTCTTAATAACACTTACTTAAAGCTTATTGGGAGTTTATACTACTGAGGTAATTTTTTTCCCTAATGTTTCATAAATGATATGAACAAATTGACCTTTGTGGGCATTTCATCTTATAACATCACATCTTACTAGGGAAAATCATATGCTGCCAAAACAATTCCACTATAGCAGGGGTAGGCAACCTGGCTCAGGAATTCTGGGAGTTGAAGTCCACGAGTCATAAAAGAGCCAAGGTTGCCTACCCTGCACTATAGTGATTACATGAAGCGATAGAAATCCAAGCAGACAATAGCTGTGGTGGGTAGCATAGCTGTTTTATAATATGGTAAAAATCTAACAGATGACATGACTCTGCATGTACATAAAAACATAAAGCATGCTCTCATGAGCTTTTATTTAAAAGTCATGTTTTGAAACAAATCATACTAAATCTTCTCCCTATCTTTCTTTTTAAAAAATAACTGTGGGCAGTTATCCACTGCCACTCAGTCTTCATCTACAAGCATGGGATTTGCTGTATATTAACTTCAGTGGAAAAACAACTACCGGGAGATCAAATAGCATAATACTATTCAAAACTTAGACTAAGAAAACTGGTGGGGAGAATGAAACCAGTCTGAATAAGCTAAAATAACAAAAAATGGAAGGGTATTTCGATTCCCACCATGGATGAATGGCTACAAAAGTTTATGGAGTTAACAGAGATGGCTAAATTGACCATTTTGATATTTAAAAAAGAGTATAAACCTTTTGTTTCTACTTGGAAACCACTTCTGGACTTTGTGTTTGAAGTGGGGAAAAATGAAACTTTGATTTTGGGTTTCACTAATTAGATTGATTTGCTGTTATAGAAATAGCTAGTTTGTACTATTATGGAAAAGTAAAAAGTTGAGGTTCAATATTAATGCCCTATTCTATTGCAACAGAAAGAATAGGAAGCTAATGTCTTTTTTTCTCTCCCCCTTCAACACTTCTCTCTTTCTCTTTCCCTCCTCTTTGTTTCCTTCTACTTGCTTTTGTATTTTTGTATTTTATACTGTAAGCTAATAAAAAATAACATATAGGAAAAAAGCTAAAATAACTTGACCAGTAATAAATGCATTTTATTGACAACGTAAGATAAACTGATGTTCCCTTTCCAACTGGAGATAACATAATATGTCATCTCCATAATATGCCATCTCCAGTTGGAACTGCAGTGGCAGAACCAAACTGTGTCATCTCCAGTTGCAAAAAGTGTCTAAATGAAAAATAGGTTACTGGAGAAACATTTCATTGCTGTCTGAAGTAGTCATCTACATTTTGGCAACCCAGATCTGAGTACCTAGCAATATGATACTGTTATACATTTTATTCTATGGCAGAGCAGAGGACTATTTGCTGCCATCTTATGGTCATCTAGATTTTTGCAAGCTTTTCCTATGAGTCCTAATATAGCTGTTATGAGGTTAACTACAATAAGGTGATTTTGATTGAACAATCTCTCTTTTTTCAGATAATGCTAAGTAGAAACCTAATAATAACAGAAACAACTGTTTCAAACTATTTTTTAAAATGTTCTTCCTCTTTTAAATTTTATTTGCATTGTTCCAGGAAGATTTATTTACATTTGATTTAATAGGATACTATTCTGTTGTTAAGGGAATCAAAAGTATTGCGATAAAATCTAACAATACTTTTAAATAAGAACATAGATATACAACATACTAATTTATGAATAGTAAATAAAAATAATAATAAAAGCATTTCAATGAAGATTGAGGAAGATTACTTTAGAACATATCAAAACAAATTTGAATATGCTTTTTCCATTAATGACTAAAACCTCTAGAAATAAAGTTAAATTGAATTCCCACATAAAATCACTTATCCTTAGATTTGGCTGACTGCTGCATCTTGTAGAGTACAAAAGTATCATTGGGAAAACAAACTAACCCTTTCTGTTGCTTTCAAGAAAATAAATAAGCTCAGCTACTTTAATTTATAAATACTTTCAGGGTATACTCTGAGGCCAAAGTAGCAACAATAAGTGATTGATGGAGAGCAGCAAGATCCAAGTATGTCAACTCTCAGAAGACCCTTTAATTTGAAGGTCATAACTGTCAAGGTTTATGCAGTTCCATATAAAACATAATGCCAATTTCCATGACATTACTGGTCCATTAGCATCTCATTAGTGTGGAACAATAAATAATTTTTAAAATTACAAAATGAAATTGTTGGTGAAATCAGCTAACTTAATAATCACGATACAAGGAGTTTGGAGGAACTACAAGCTAATAATAATAATGAGTGTACTTATCAATCTGTTGAAATTTTGATTTTGGATAGAAATAAGAATGTCTCAAGACTCATAGACCTTAATATCCATTTCATATATAAGCAAAGATGGAAATTATTCCTTCTTAACCTAAGAAATTACTACCTCTTTGTTACAGAAGCATTTGAAAATGGAAATATAATACCATAGTCATTTTTCTGCTGAATATTTTATTAACTGTATACCAAAACATTGTACAGAAAAAAGTATGGCAATTCAGAACGGATGCAATAAAAAAACCCAGAATATTCCAAATTTAGTGTGTTATGAGAAAAAGAATGTATTTATACAACAAACAGAATACATTTCTTCTCAGTTAATAAGTAGTTTATTCACAGAGTGTTCTCTTATGGGATGGCCCGGCCAATACAGAACAAAGTATTCTATTATTACCAGAATTCTCTAATTTTTCCAGATTATGTTATTTTCCATTAATAATCTTTCAATTTCCACACAAAATTTCTTTAGAAAAAATAGAAAAAATCTATTGAAACATTGAACAATGCTTTCTGGTGCTATTAGAACACTCTCCTTGTAGAAACATGATTAAATATTTATACACACAAACAGAGAGAGAGAGAGGGAGAGGGAGAGGGGGAGGGGAGAGAGAGAAAGAGGGAGAGAGAGAG